GAGTTGTTATTATAGATACTATTGCATTCGAACGATGACGATGCATTTGTTTCGTTCGTTATCGTTGTTCTTTGACGCAGACTCGCATTTGTTTGCACAAACACACTTAAAAATGAATGATAAAAATAATCTTTCGTTTAGTAGCAAACAAAACACATTCGCATACATAACAACTTACCAAGCAACAAAAAAAAACGTCTATCAACAAAGAAAGAAAAAGAAACAATTTCTATTTAACTAAGAAGACGAACAATTTTTTTCTTGCAATTTTTCTTTCTTTTTTACAATATTATTGAAGTTTTTTAGACGAACTAACTAACAAATGAAAATTTGCATTCATTTTCATTTATTGTATGATCATCGATTGATAAGCAGTATATGATTAATAATTATGTGTTTGTAAGATGAACGAAATAGCAAATAAAGACAAGAAAGAAAGAAAGAAAGAAATACGGCAGAAAATGGTAGTCTTTTTTCTTTTTACTTTTGATGAGATTTTTATTAACTGAATGCAATGCACATATAAAATATTTAATGCAGTCGGAGACAACTAAAAGGAAAAAAAACAGCAACAATATTTTTAAATTTCATTTATGATTAAAATTTTCATTTCTTTTTCTTTCCAACGAACAACGATCGATAATGCAATCACTTTGAAATTAAAAAAAAGAACGAACGATCGAGATAAGAAGTTGTTAATGTATATTTATAGCAACCAGCCAAGAAACAACCAAAATACATTTAGAGGGTATGAGTATAGGATGTGGATGAAGAGAAGACTCACACCCACATCTCTAGATGCAAATCAAAATTAAATTCATTTGTATTTGTTCAGTATATTAATTTTATTTTGTTTAAATAATTATCAATCATTCATCAATAGGAAAATTGACTGTGGCATGCCATTTGACTTTGTACATAGTACGATTATGAGAAGATAATAGCTAGACTAAGACAAGCTCAAACAAATACGTATTGATGATCTAACAGTAATAGAAAGTTATAGGACATTTTAACATTGACATGACCATGATCATCTTTTGAACTAGTCATAGTTGTACGAGTGCTATTCAGTATTCGCATTAATTTTCATTTGTTCTATCTTAGCCAAAGAAAAAAAGAAACAACTATTTATAATTGAGTAACATTATTGATCAACTGCATTGGGTGTCTTAAATTCAGTACTAAAACACATCACTTGAATCAATGTTACAAATGTATAGTATTTGAATGAATTTTGCTGAGATTTAATCATGCCCTTTGTAGATAATTAATTCACATTAAAACGATTAAGATTATTTGACTGATATTTTATTAACATATTCTACTAAGTGTTCGTGTGAGAGTTCAACGAGAATGAACATATATCTTTTTCAACATAGTCAATTTTCAAATAGATATGGTAAACTACTAGTTTTCTCAAACAAATATTGAAGTCAAAACTTTCTATAAAGATTTTTCGTGCTTCGATCGATGCTTAGACATATCCATAATATGAGATGGAATGGTGTCTAATATTTGAATGTATTTCATCATCAATTATGAAATCGACTATCGTTTTTTCTTTGCATCGTTGATTGAATAAAAAGTAAACATGTCAATTGAGTTTGAATTCGAAGATATTCGGTTGACTAACGAAGGAAGAACTACTATTGAGATTTGGTCGAACTATTGAATTTCCAATATCTTTATTTTGTCAGAGACTTCTGTAGAGCTTCAAACTGACAGAAAAAATTTTTTTTTGCATTAAGTCTCAAGATCTTATATATAGTGGTAGCTTTCCTCTGACTAATCAACATATTATGAATTCAATAGTTTCAATAAATTTCAATAGTAACTCAAATCCATTTAAGACTTTCATCACTAGATACTACGCAGCATTTACAGGCGACTTTTTCTTGATTCATCTGATCATGAAGACGGTTAAGAAATATTCTGAAAATTGAACCCTTATATTGATTCTTATATACGTGATAATGAAAGTGATCATCATGTTGTGATCGATCATTAACAAAAGTAATTCTTGTTGATAGGAAAAGAAAACTTCTTGAATATAAAATATGTCATCGTGTTGACTTTTATTTTTATAAATGAAAATCATTGCATTCAATAAAAAACAAATATGTTTACTTTTTAATTTATGTAAATAATAATGTTTCCTATATTGTTTTAAACTATTAGATAATTTATATTGATTCATTCAATAATCTTTGACTTACAACATATCCATCGAACAATAATAATAATAATCTAACAAAACCACCATATCATGTTTATGTACAATATCGGATTATTGATACATAAAAACTAGTATATTTTTATATTTTCTCATTTCAGTCTTGTGTGTGTGTATAGTTTTTGAATTCTTCTTCTAATCATTGTATGTCCGACAGGCACATTTTTTGATTGTTTTCTTGTTGTACTATTATAACATTTAGTTGTATGTGATAAATTCTATTAAACTATAATACATATAACAGGAACAAACATTTTTGAATTCTATAAATATTTTATTATATATAATATTAGAAATAATGAAAAAAAAATCATGTTTTTATTTATACCTTTTCACATAAATAAAATACATTCGTTATTAGTGAAAATCTATTAGCATTATATCTATAGGATATCACACCTACACGTGGTATTATTTCGTTGCTCATTCTTACTATCTACTTACAATGATGATGTTGGAAAAAACCTTGACAACAATGCAAATAACATTGATTCATTTTATTCTATAAGTTTATCTTTGTTTGTTCTTCTTCTTCCTCGACTTGTTGAGATAGCGATGCAAACTTTAAAGATAACAAAATATAATGACTTGAGCAAAACAACCAATTCAACAAAAAAAAGAGAATGATCTCTATCGAAAAACTAAAGAAACTTCTGCTGTATCTTCAGAAAAAAAAATGTTTTAAACATTTTTACATTAATTAAAAAAGGAATTTGCTTTCTTTCTTGCTTTCACACTGTATTATGATTAAAATAAATACTTTGCTAGAAAAAAGGTCACAATAGAAACGGGTAGCTTCGTTTTTTCCTCTTCATTTTGGTTTGTCGTTTGGTAAGAGGCCTATTTTATTGATTCAAGATATCTTGCACATAGAAACATAGACAAAGATAAAAGAATTTTCTAATGAGACCAGATAAAAGCAAACGAAAAATAAAAAACAATGAAAACAAACAATATATGAAGCAACCCAGGCGAGCAAAGGACGGGTAAAAAGAATAGTCATTTTTCTAGTCGTGACTATGCGTCATGTCTAGTCTTTTTCTCAAAAAGTCCTACTACATGACTAGTCCAAAATGATTTGAAATCTTTAACCCCGTCTGAAAATAGATTTTAAATTAAAAAAAGCAAAGCGCCTGTGACGCGACATCTACTAGGTTTCAGTCTTATGTAGCGGTCTAGTTCGGACTAGTCTAAATGATAGAAATATGTGCAGAAAGTTAGATTCGTACATACATACCTTGAGTTACTTACTCGTCGTCTACCCGATTGAGCCATATGATCTAGTGATCAACTTTTACATGTCAATACACATCGGAAGACACTAATTACTACAGTTTGACTCGGCGTTTTCTCAAGTTTTAATATTTACAGAAACTACTTGTAATAAAATCGAAAATTAGTTAAATAAAGCTAAGCAAAGTTAATTCAGAATTTTTTTAATTTCCTTCAACAGAATTTTTTTTTGATTATCGACATTTGGAAAAAATTATTTTCTATTGGAAAAAACAATTAAAATTTAAATCAAAATCAAAATAATAATATACATTTCAAAAAAAGATCTTGCTTTTCATCTCATGGTTTATGTTTATCTTAATTTAAAATATTTCCTATTTAAATTTGAAAATGAACTATGATTCTACCGTTTAAATTCATTTTTAAATTCAAATCATTAGTTTTATATTGAAATAAAATAATATCCTCATATCAATGCATTAAAATTCATTTTTCGAATAAAATTATTCTTGATTGTTATTACAATTTAAAAATTTAAAAGGACATAAATAGCCAACTCTCGTTAGGTACATCGTTCTAGTCCCAATACAAACTAGTCTAAACGAATTGTCCGAATGATTAAGTCCAAGCAATAAAGACTGTTTGAAAGGATAGACTACCCTGGACCAGAATTGGCATTACTTTCTCGAAAACGACTAGTCATCACCAATATAAATGACTCTTCATACTAGTCCGCGTTACCTATTGAAAACAGTTTAGACTAGTCAGGTATCCAATATTGTCGGCTTGAATGCTCGAATCCACCTATCGCCTCCGTTTCTTCTAGCTTTTGCCTTCAAGTTGACGCGTCTGGACAGTATGCACATACAAAACGGACTAGCCATGACAAGATTAGAGCATGTTTTGGACTAGACTATTTTAGATGCAAGACGTTGCTCGTGAAGACGACTAGTCCTGACTAGCTGCAAATCATTTCAGACTAGTCGAAACGGCAGTGCAGACATTTTAGACTAGTCCAGACGGGTACTACGGACAATTTAGACTAGTCATGTCGGGCGTCATCCCTTATTTTTTGCTCGCCTGGGAATTCATTTTGAGATCCTATTCATAATCTTTCGTTTTTTTCTCTTCTACGAATGACGATCGATCAATAGTGTAATTATTCATGCTTTTTGGACGGATTCTTCGTTTTCATGCCAGATGCACAGAGATTTCGTTCGTCACATGTTTTGTCGTTATCATTTCGTCAGTAACAAAACTCTTGAAATAAAAAACAAAAACAAACGAACAAAAGATTGAGATAAGAAATCCTTCAAGTCTTCTATAGTAATAACAACCATAAACCAAAAGATAGAAAGTATCAACACGAAAGAAGAAAAAATCAACATAAAAAATATCTACAGGGAGAAAGAGACGAATTCTGTTTTTGCCCATTCTTTCTTTTCATCACCATCCAACAAGTACTTACATTTTTATCTATTTATTCATTTACGAAAAACACAACGTCATTATTATTATCAACATCATCCAAATGGACAAAAAGCAACATTCAAAATCGACTGCTAGTGGATCTTCTTCATCATCCACAACAAATAAACCAAAGAAAACATCATCATCATCATCAACAGCAGCATCAGTGTCAACGATGGGCGGAAGTGCTGCGCTTCCTCAACCTGCTCGTCGAATTATTCAGAATTTTCTTCTCGTCTGGCTCGATGCTAATATTGACGAGTCAAAGGAAGATTTTCAAAACACATTAAAACAATTACGACGAATTGTAGCATCCATTACAACATTCACCGATGCTCAACAATGTTTCGATTATCTTAGTGGCATTACAAAGGAAAAGGCATTTATGATCGTATCGGGTTCACTTGGACAGAAATTTGTACCAGAAATGGAAGCCATGCCACAATTAGAATCTGTGTACGTTTTTTGTGGTAATCAATCTTATCATGAACAATGGGCCAACAAAGTATCGAAGATCAAAGGCGTATATACAAAAATCGAACCAATTTGTAAAGCCCTAGAAATTGATCGACAACGATGTGATCAAACTATGATCCCGATCAGTTTCAATGGTCTTGATGCATTGTTTATGTATACACAACTTTTGAAAGAAGCAGTCTTAGAAATCGAAGATGATGATAGAAAATCTATCAAAGATCTTGTTACATACTGTCGTGAACAAGAAGATATATCTGAAGATGAAATTAAACTAATCGAACGTGAATATCGTGATCATACACCGATTTGGTGGTATACGGCTCCTTATTTCATGTACTCAATGCTTAATCGTGGTCTTCGACAAATGGATGTCGACATTATTCTTAAAATGGGCTTCTTCATCCGCCATTTACATCAACATATTAAAAAATTACATGGTGAACAACAATCCGATAAGCCCACCAACAGACCATTCACAGTCTTCCGTGGACAAGGTTTGTCCATGGAATACTTCGAGAAAATGAAACAAACAAAAGGAGGACTTATGTCCTTCAACAACTTCCTTTCAACCAGTCGTCAACGGAAGATTTCACTTGGCTTTGCACGTCAGTCACTCGACAATACTAATTATGTCGCCATACTCTTCGTTATGAATATTGATCCAATGGTATGCGTACAATCGAAAATTCCCTATGTCGACGTGAAAGGTGTCGGTTATTATGACAATCAAGAAGAAGAAGTACTTTTTACGACACATACGATCTTTCGCATCAATCAATTCAAGCGCATCGAAGACAAAGATACCGATCGCCTATGGCAAGTTAATCTCACCCTTACGGGTGACGACGATAATGAACTCAATACGCTTACGTCACATATACGTAAAGAGTTCACCGTAACAACAGGATGGTCTCGCCTAGGCCTCATACTTATTAAGTTGGGTGAGCCTGCGAAAGCAGAACAACTTTATAAGACTCTCCTCAAAACGGCGTCTTCTGATAAGCAAAAATCAGATTACAATCATTACCTTGGTTGGTTGTATACTGATATGGGCAAATACGCAAAAGCAATTATATTTCACGAAAAATCACTCAAAATCAAAGAAAACACCACTCCTCAAAATCTTCTCGACTTGGCTGCTTCATACAACGACATCGGTTTGGTGTATGATAACATGGGCGAGTACTCGAAAGCACTTTCATCGTATGAACGAGCACTTGAAATCTGGAAAATAGCTCTCCCTCCGAATCATCCCCACTTGGCTGCTTCATACGGCAACATCGGTTTGGTGTATGATAACATGGGCGAGTACTCGAAAGCACTTTCATCGCACGAACGATCACTTGAAATCTGGAAAATAGCTCTCCCTCCGAATCATCCCGACTTGGCTTCTTCCTACAACAACATCAGTATGGTGTATGATAACATGGGCGAGTACTCGAAAGCACTTTCATCGCACGAACGAGCACTTGAAATTCGAAAAATAGCTCTCCCTCCGAATCATCCCGACTTGGCTTCTTCCTACAACAACATCGGTTTGGTGTATGATAACATGGGCGAGTACTCGAAAGCACTTTCATCGTACAAACGATCACTTGAAATCAAAAAAATAGCTCTCCCTCCGACTCATCCCGACTTGGCTACTTCTTATCACAACATGGGCTTGCTGTGTGAAAACATGGGAGACTATTCCAAAGCACTTCACTTTCATGAAAGAACACGAGATATTGTCCAGAAAACTCTCCCACCAACGCATCCTCATGTGTTACAATCGAAAAGAGATGTTGAACGTGTAAAAAACAAAATGTAATTGTTTTTTTTTAAACAAGAAAATAAATTGGTCTTCTTGCACACGTTTACCTCACCAAAGCGTACCAACTGCAACAAATTTCGCACACGCGCGACCAGGGATACCCTCCGTATTCCGTTGGGTTGTACAGTGGACAAAGTCGGCAATGATAAGGCAAACATACATTTATGTGTGTATGACTAGTACATCCATGATCATCATCTTCGGAAAGACGATGATCAGACGGATGCTTCTAGTCTTACATACATAGATGTATGTTAAAAAGGCCTACCATCTACACGTCTGTACAGGTTAACAACAGAACGTCGGATATCCCTGGGAAGGTTCATTTTGTTTTAGAGCCACCCTCGAAAGCTCCGTTTGTTTTAAATTTTTTTTTCTTCTGTTACGAAGAACGAGAAGAAATAGAGAAAGGCGAAGAAAGACGACGTTGACGGAATTTTAATACACGCAGCGTATGAAGACAACCGGTTGTTTTGACGCATGCTGTGATATTGAGTGCACGATATCTCTATTGTCTTTACACATGTTATGTTCAATTTATTTTTCTTTTCATCTGAAATGTGTAAGAACAAATGAGATGTCGTGCACTCAATATCATATTATACGAATGATGACTGAACGAAAGAAGAAGACAAAAAAAAATTATCGACTATTCTCTTTGATTAGTAACATATACATATATAAGAGATAATTGAAAGAAGAAAATGAAAAAGGAATTTTTATACATTTTATTTTTATATTAGTACAAAGAATGACATCGGTGGTGATGCAACTCATTGCATATCTAACTATGATATTCAAAGAACTTTTGTAAGTACAGATCTTTACCAGGCCGCTTGTATTCTAAACTATTTCGGTACTTTTAAGATCGTATGCCATGTTTTCTCACTCCCATTTATATTTGATCGTCTCAAATAGATTACGAACAATCTTTCATCTATTAATATTCAGATCTGTAACTCATTTGAAATTGCACGATAAACTTCCATTGAAACATGAATTTTTCATTCTAATTACTCAAGCTTTTTTATTACTTAAATTATTATCTATTATGAATATTCAACCACAACTTCGAAGATCTTACAAATATCCATTCATTGATAACTATTCATATTCGGTTGTTGAATATTCTTATCTTATTTTACTTAATTTATATTTATGAATGAATTTAAAACACATTTATCATGTTTAACTAAATTAAAAGATTTATATGGTCAATTAAAAAGTGTAATAAAAAGCTTAACAAGAAATAGAACAGAACAAAATTGAACCAAAGTGAAACGATTAATTGTTGAAGACTCAATAATTCTGTCTGAAGATGTTCATCATTATTTTCTTTCATTATAAATTCAATCTTATTTTGATTTCGCTTAGATAAAAATCAATAATTTATATCTCTCGTTTTTCAGAAAATGGAAAAGGTGTTAAACATTATTTGTTAATCATCGGACTATACGTAACATAAAACAAATCGATAAATCATTTTTGATCGTTCAATCTGAAGAAAGAACCATGAAAATAGTTATTTATTGCTTCAATTACACAAATTATAACAGAATTATTTTACATTAAACATAAGCAATAATTATTAAGATTCCATAGTGAATGAAAGTTTTTTTTTTCTAACTAACTTCTTTTCTGTAAGTCTAAAGATATTGCAACAAATGAGAAATACAGTGGACATAGTCAAATGATTTTTAACATTTTCCATGAAAACTTAAGAATTTCCAATAAAAAAATGATTAGGGCATCTATGATAAAATGCTGCAAATATATTAAAATAATTTATATAGATAGATGAATATAAGAGACTTTTGTGGTAAAGACACGTTTTTTTGTACCAAAAAAAAAGAAGTATCTAGTGGAACATGATTCGAAACCATTTGTTCACGTTTTCAATGAAAAACGAGATGTTCCAATGCAGATCTTTGTAAATTCTTTTCTCATATCAATGTTTAAGTTATAATTTCGTTAGTAACTTGATTGTTTTATAAGATTCATTTCGAACATAATTAACTAACATGTATTCAACCTCGCTCATAATTCATTTTAATCAATTTAATTTCTTAATCTACAGACAACGAATAATAGAAGTTATTTATTGTTTTTCAGTAGTCATTCTCTTTTACAAAGTAACTTGATATTAATTCTACAGATCTGTACTGCCAGATTTTACCGAAGAATAATGTATTGAACAGTTCTATCAAACAACGAAAATTATTTCATCATATTCAAAGCAAGCAAACCAGAGAATCGTTTCAAATCGACATGATAAATTCCGATTATCTGAAGTAAACGGGATCGAACTAAAATTTAATGACACTGTAATGTTGAGACGATTCATGCCATAAGTCTGAATGAACTAGAATGATCTCAACTGATATCCAAAAATCCGCTTGAAAGAGTCTAAACCTAATGGAATCAACGCTGATTTTCAAATCGACGAGAACAGATACCACAGTTAGATCTTACCTGAAAAAGTCGAGTAGCGGTAACAACAATAAAATGAGATGATTTTTTGAACAATGTCTTTTATTATGCTTTAATAATCATTTACAATATTGTATATCTTCAATGAATAATGAATGTAGACAGTTGGTATCACGCAGATCGCTATTCAAAACAAAAGTCGATTTATCTCAATAATTGTTCGACTATTTTACATTGAACAATAGAGTTTGTTTTATAAAAATGACGAGAGTCTTGAGATCGTGATTCGAATTATTCCAATTAAGTTAATTCCAATCCTTTCAGCAATTTCAGTTGAGGAGGACTTGGAAAACTACTAGTATTTTTTGAGTAAGTTTTCAAGTATTGTTCCTCAGACACAAAAGGTTCGTCTCATTTTGCTCTATCTTCTCATGTGAAACGAGGCAAAGATGAACGAATTTGATCGATTTTCAATTGAAATAATGAAACATAAGCAAAAACGAACAGTTTTTTTGAGTAAGCCTTCCTATCTTTGGATGAATATTTCATTTCTATGAAAAGTCTTACAAAAAAAAAATAAAAATTCTAAGATCTATTCTTAAGAAGTTAAATGAATATTAATCAAAGCACGTTTGAGTTCAATATCACCAGATTTTATATTTAATGAAATTTAACTTGAAATTTTCTTTCAAACTCGATGAAAAGTAAACTACTCTCTCTTGATAAAAAAAAATAATTTGAAATCATCTATCAATTCTCTGAAAATAGAAAATGTGTGGATGAGAATCAAATACCGATTGTACAATCAATAAGTTATGTAGTTCTATAGTTTACGTCTCTCTTTCATTCTTACGTAGATTGGGAATGTACATTGAATAAATATTCTGAAATAAGTCAAAACAATTTCAATTCAACATTATACTGACAATCTTTAGTATGATACTATTAAGAATGTTATAAATTCATTTACTTTACAATAAAGCATGTTCTTCAGACCATTTTTCATGGCGATATTTCTTTTTTCTTTTTGACTTTATTACATCTAACTATACAATCATTTGAGATCATGAGTATTTGATATATATAGAAGTCATGGTTTATTAAATTCATGTAGAATTATTCTATAAATAGATATTCAAAATGAAAAATCTTATTGATAAATTTTATATATCAGAAGAAATTAGTGCTAATTATGTTCAGGTTTTTTTTTGCTTTGTGAAATCGAATCTACTTTTTATTCGTATATTTATAAATACTTATTAGAAAATAGATTGATTTACACCAAAGAAAACCTATTAGATAATTACATTATTTTCTAAGATAATATTTATAGAAATATAATGAGATTTATCGATCTCTATCAGATATGATTCTATTTTATTTTCAACTTTGAATAAAAATTGTTCAAAATTCTCTGTATATTGTTTTATTTTTTATTTTTTTGTCTTTGATTTTTCTTACAAAACGAAATTATTTGTCTAGTTCATTCCCCTATTACGAATGAATAATTTATTTTTAGGTGACAGATAAATTTTTATATTTGTCTTTGTTCATAAAACTTTTGAAAATCTCAAGAATATAAAATATTCTTGAAATATCAATAACAAACGAAAGAAATTTAAAAAAATGTTTTGCTTTTTATTTCTTCTTGAAAAGGTGTTGTTTTTTTATTATTTCAATGATAGTTATTGCTTTAATTTTATTTTTGCTCATGTTATAGTATTTTATTTTTTAAAATATTTTCTAGAAAATGAAACTAATTGATTGATAAAATCCTAGGAAAACGAAAAACAAAAACAAAAATTGACGTTTTTCTATAAGTGAGCACAGTCGAACAAGTTCCAATCAACAGATATCTTTTATAGCAATTAAATATAAACGCGAATCTTTTTACTTTCGTCTTCAAGATAAATGTACATTTATTTATTTATTTATAAATCCAAAATATAATGATTTCGTAAATCAATGTGAAGCTATCACGACGGATTTAGGTGAACTTGAAGTCTGTAACGCTGGATATTGTGGGGACGGCAGTTGGATGAGGGTGCTCGGCAATGCGTACACAAGCACCTGCACCCAGATTTCCGCCCTGAAAAGTCCAAGTATTCAGGATTTTAGGTTTATCTAAATCCGTCCTAGTAGCTATTCGTCGTGTTAACTTCACATCGATATTTCTTAATAGAAAATGTTCTTATTTTAAAAAATGAATTTTTAGAATTGGTAGTTTTTTTTCTACTTTGTCCTGAATACTTTCTTTTGATAGTGAACTATAATGAATAAGGACGGTAGGTCAGTTATGACTCGATGGCAGAACTGATTCAATAGTTGATGTTTCCGAGCGTTTATTAATTAATAATAATGATGCAAAAAAAGAATTTTGTGAAAAGATAGGCTTTTTCTAATTATTTATTTCTATTATACAAAAAAGTACCAATAAATTGAAATTGAATAAAAGAAAAGGTAAAATTGTATGAGTAACGTAGTCTTGTTTTTCAATTTAATTTTCACAAGAAAGAGAAAATTTTATAATTTATTAGATGATACTTATAGAAAGTGATTATTAATTATTGCCTTTATTTTCTGCTTTACAAAAGATTTAAATATTTCTTAGTTTCAGGTACATAACTAAACTTCCAGTGTACTATGTAAAACTGCTATGAAACTTAATGATGATAAGTTTTCGAGTCAAAAATTGATCATTGAATCGAATAATAGTTTTTCATATGGTTCATCTTTATATATAAGGATCCAAGATAAGTTAATTCATCAACTAGAGCTTCTTTTAATGAAGATTTCTCATTTGATTATAAAGACTGAGTCATTGTACATACTAACTTTGTTATCATTTTGAATGTTGATGCATAGAGTTTGAAAAATTATCAAATTCTAGAAGATTGAGTTTTTTTTTTGTAGATAATGTGATCTTCATTTTAAGAATAGTCGAAATATTTACATGGGTATAATCATCAAAATCTGGCTTAAGATAAAATAGAATTTTTTTTGGTCATACGTATCAATTATGAGTAGATAATAAATGTTATAAAGTAGTAATTATCAATCACTTATTCTGAAGGATAACTATATCGAATAAATCTTTTCAAGAAGCACGTTCTGCAATTAACAAAACCTTTTTCTGTAAAATATACACAACAAACTATCAATGACCTCTATTACTGATCTTTATATATGTATTCAATTCCATTGACAAAATCAGAGAACCTGTGAGGAATATCAAACTCTCAAAATTATTTCGAATGTTAAAATAATGCTATTCAATACTATATTTGGTCATTTCGTGATTGTGGATGATACAATAAAAAGAATGTTAAAGTGCATGCATCAGTCGGCATAGATTCCTCTCATTGTTGTTTTTTCTTTTACGTAGGATATCTTAGGTCAGGATTCGAGTATTTCCTGAAAGGATTCGCTCCAGAAAACTTTCCAAAATAGTCTAACAACTTTCCAAGTGGAACTTGACGAGCTCTATCGAATGGACACCTTCGAAGCTCAATTTGATAAACTCTTCCCTTCAGAAACGGTCAATCACAGGTTCGATCCGTAGATTTCTCCTAAGATCCGAAGAGACTCGCCCAGGAGTACTTTCCAAGTCCAACATATAACTTCCTGACTGGGTTTAAACGAGATCTATCGAATGGACATCATTTGAGCTTGATTCGATGCTTCCCTTCCCAGAGAAACGTCTAATCCAGGACTCAATTATTCAGTTTTTCAATAAAACCCGAACTGATTCGTCCAGAAGTACTTTCCAACAGAGATATATAACTTTCCAAATAGATCTCAACGAGATCTATCGAATGGACACCCCTAGAACTTGATTCAATCCTTTTCTTCTGAGAAAAAGGCCTGATTCGGAATCCAATCATTCCGCTTTCCAATAAATGCCATAGCAAATCGCCCTAGAGTTATCTGCAACTCTAATACATTACTTTCCCAATGGAATCTGACACGCTCTACCGATTGGATACCTTTTAAGCAGAATCAGATGGTGTTGGGCCAAGAAAATCTGCAAAAAACTGGAGGCATCCTAGGCTTTTCTGTAAAACCTTACAGGATTCGTTCGAAAGCACTTTCCAACAACTAGATGAAAGTTTTGAAGTAGATCTTGATCAGTTCTACTGATGGAGTACCTTTTTAGCCGCGTCTAATACGGTTGGCTTTTTGAAACGCCCGATCCAAAGTCACAAATTCAGTTTTTCGTGGAAAGAGCCTTTCACAATCCGCCCAACCATTGGTTCCAACTACATGGTTGATTTGTTGCTGATAGAACTCGACGAGCTCTATGTAAGAGACTCTTCTCTGATCTGATTCGTGTATCCGGTACCACCATGATCCAGTAATTTCCGCCTACTTAGTAAATTTTTCACATTAAAGCCGGTGTGCTTAGCTGAGAATCACTCTTACAGTGGGTGACAAAACTGTACAGAGAAATATCAGCAATCTCTTTCAAACAGACAGCTCATTCATCCGATTCGGGTACCCGTCGCCCTTCCCAAAAGCAAAATGCTAGTTTTTACATAGTTAATCAAGATGCTTCAGGAAATCGGTGTGGATGCTTCCAGATTCACACAGTTTCTTTTGTTTCCTCCTAATTTATGCAGAGAAAAAATAAATAAGCATTGAATTCGGTTACAGAAATCATCCAATGAAACTTTTTCTTCGCTTCGAAATAAGATGCTACGCGGTGAGTTTTTTTTCTTCTCGTTGTGTTATCCTGCATGATAAATTAATTTTCTTTTCCTTCTCTTGATATCGTGCACAATCAATTCTTTCCCCTCTCGTTTCATAGTTCTCCTCGAATTAAAACCCTTCAATCCATTCTATTACAGCTGTTGAGTGCCGGTATGTGCTCATTCTATTCATTGTATATTTTGCTAGGCATATAACATATGGTCGGGAGGCAACTACGTACGCCATCAACCCTTAGAACATTCACCCGGGTATCCATTCGGTTGAATTCTTCGAGCTCTCGCTTGAACCATCAATCATGTAGTTTGAACCAAGGATGGTGTGAATCGTGACAGGTTCTGCCACGAAAAAGCTAATTTCTCACAGGAAATAACAGGCTTTGAAAAGACGGAGGCATCAAATTGAGCTCGGAAACTGTTTAATCGATAGAGCACGTTGAGCTCTAATTTAGAAGTTCTACGAGAACGTTAGGAAGTCCTGCTAGGCGAATCCTGAGAAGTTTTACGGAACAACCTAGGATTTCGGATAGTTTTTACTGATTTTGTTTCCTCAGGAGCATCTGGTTGTACTCAAAAGCTGCCCATTTGATACATCTCGTTTAGATCTGTTTAGAAGGTCATATGTCCCAGTTGGAATGTATTTCTTAGTGAATCCTTACAACTTTTATTAAAAAACTGGAAAATTGGACCCTGGATTAAACATTTTTCTGGGACGAGAAGCATTGAATCAAGTTCTAAGGGTGTCCATTCGATAGATCTCGTTGAGGTCTATCTGGAAAGCCATATGTCTCAGTTGGAAAGCACTTCTGGACAAATCGGTTCGGGTTTTGTTGAAAAACTGAATAATTGAACCCTGGATTAGACGTTCCTCTGGAAAGGAGAGCATCAAATCAAGCTCAAATGATGTCCATTCGATAGATCTCGTTTAGATCCAGTCGGAAAGTTATATGTTGGACTTGGAAAGTACTCCTGGGCGAGTCTCTTCAGGTCTTAGGAGAAATCTACGGATCGAACCTGTGATTGACCGTTTTTAAAGGGAAGAGTTTATCAAATTGAGCTCCAAAGGTGTCCATTCGATAGAGCCCGTGGAGATCTACTTGAAAAGTTGAATGATTTCGCTGGAAAGTGCGTCTGAGCGAATCGCGACAAGCACTATTTGAAAAACCTAGTTTCTGGTGTGGATTGAAGGTGTTGAGGGCGAGAGGAGTATGGAATGGGACACCACCGATATGCATTCGATAGAGCTTGTCAAGATCTACCTGGAAACTCAATGATTAAGTTGGAAAACATTCCTGGGCGAATCACGACAAGTTTTTCCAGAATTGTCTGCATTTTACACGTTTTTTTGATGATATTTAGGGATTTTCGCGGTTTGAGGGAGAGCTAGAGAAAAATGAATTATGTGGTTGAATAGAGCTCGTCGAGTTCTACTTGGAAAGCTGTTAGACTGTTTTGGAAAGTTTTGTGGAACGAATCCTTTCAGGAAATACTCGAATCCTGACCTAAGATATCCTACGTTGTTTAAATTTATGACAAATAGACGCGCCCGAATACATAAAAGAAAGTACGTTCGAACGACATTTTAAACGACGTTGATTATGGTGAACAAATGTGTTTTTTCTTAAATGGGTTTAAACGATGTTTTTAGATTACATTTAAGTTGAAAAAAATGCGTTGTAAATAAAAACAATGTGTTCGAACGCGTTGCAATAAAAAATAATGGGTTTTAAACGCAAAAAGAGCGTTTGTTTTTTCGAAAAGTTGACGTTGAAACGTTGTTTTATATAAAAAAATTTTCCATGGGAATAGTCAAGTAAAAGTTAATGGAATTGTGTTATATAAAAAGATTTAGAATATCTATTATTTTTCTTGATTAGTAATAAGATTTCATTGAGTGATGTTTTATTTTATTGCAAACAAGCATGAAAAAGAAGTGTCAACATTCTGTCGTTATTTTTAAACCGAAAGTACAGAATACATTTATTACATATTAAACGTACATTTAAGAAACAATAATGAAGGTATTCGTTTCTTTGTTAGAGTTTTGTTTTGTTTTATTAAATTGATTTTAGTCACGTGTTGTCCCAACATCATCGTTTAATGTTTATCATTTTCAGCAAGAACCCGTTCGATTTTACTCAACCAAAGATAATGAACGATCCGACAGAAAGAAAAGATATGATTTTGCATGGTGTTTTACATCGACAAATGGTTTTACCAAATTATGTTTAGTTTTAACAACCATTGGTGTGTTAGTTCTCGTAATTGTTGCTACTATTATTCCATTTGTTATTATTATAAAATATAATACAGGTAATAATTAATGAAAATTATGAAAGATTTTTATGACTAAGCTATTAATTATAACTATTTATAAAGAAGAGATATAATATATATTTTTGTTGAGTTTAGAAATGAATAATAGTTCAAGTTCATTAAGTATCAATGTTCCTAAACGGCTTGATATTTATTATGGATGGCCATCATTAGTTCAAGGTGCTAATTGGAATTTAACTGCAGCTATAAATACATTTAGTCAATTTGATTTGGTTGTTTTCGGTGATGGAATAGCTTCTCCTTCTCATGGTGATCATGCTAATACACAAACAATTATTCAATCATTGAATAATCTTGGAAAATTAACTTTTGGTTATGTTGATCTAGGAGTTATAACACAAAATTTATCTATTTCACAAATGCAAACAACTGTTAATAATTGGTTAGCTATGGGAATTAAGGGAATTATGTGGGATGATGCTGGGTAAAGAATTATTTTCAATTTTTAAAAGTATAAAAATTGCTTTTTTTTTAAATTTAGTTATGATTATGGTGTGACACGTACTCGTCAGAATACAATGATTTCTTATTGTCATTCATTAAATTTAGCTGTAATGATGAATGCATGGAATCCAGATGATGTTATGTCTGGAAGTCCAATGCTTTTAGACTCTCGTGATATTTATTTACTTGAATCATATTTAATATCGAATGGTGTTTATCAAAATTTAACAATATGGAAAATAAAAGCAGATAAATGTTTAACGTATTCAAATTTATTTGGAATTTCAATGGCAACACTTTCAACAAGCACAACTCCAATATCATCATCATTTAGTTCTACTCAACAATTTAGTCAAGCTTGGTTTGGTACTGCTATTTATAATTTTCAATATTTTCAAGCTACTGATTTTCAATATAGTGCAACGAATAATATGTTATATGCATTTGTAAATCCATTATCCTCATATGGTAATACCTGGCAAACGAATACTATACAAACAGATTCAAATATACATTATTATAGATCAACTAATACTTATACTTTACATATTTATGGTGATGGTACTACTTATGGAAATGGAAATTTTAGTGTTTTATCCAATGGATAATAATAATTTTAGTACTTTATTAATCTAAAGTTTTTGTTTTCTTTATAGTGTTCAGAAAAGTAACTAAATAAAGAAAAATAACTTGAATATCTTTCCCATGCTTCAATCAAATGAGCTGATTTTTTTTGTGAGAGTAAAGGATAGTTTTAAGCTTTTATTCATGCATAAAGAATCTATTCATACACATGAAACCAGCAGACTTTTGTTCACTATACTACGAAACAATGCACCCACGTGTTTAACTCATAGCTACAGATCGATGTTATAGGATATTCTTTTATATATTTTGTCAAAACAGTATAACTGATATATATATATAATTGTGTTGGTCTGTTTGCTGCGTTTTTCAAAAGGAAAAGAGATAAAGGTTAAACTTAGCAAGTAATTTAGTTTTTGACACAAAATCACATAGCAGAACTATTTGCTGATGGTAAATAAGCTTCATCAAAACTCTTTAATGATATAATGGACAAAATTTGCTGCTTTTATGACTATGAATCGACTGTTCATTTATAAATAAAAGCTTAAAACTGTCCTTTATTATTAGAAAAAAATCGACTTATTTGATTAAAGCATATGGACGATATTAAAGTTTTTCTTTGTTTAATTACTTTCTGGACATCCTATCAATATTTTACTTATTTAATATTTATATCTATTCGTCATCTTGATATTCTAATAAACATAGATAAATCTATTTGTTTTTTTCTTCTCTAGATGAACTAATGCTCATGCAATGATTAAAATATGAGAAAGTGTTTTGCTGACAAATATCTACCAGAGATACGAAAGGATTATGAAAATCTATTAATGAAAATATTCTACATTCACGATTTTCTTCGACAATATATGTGATTTCAACCAATTTGCGGTAAAATCTATCGTTTTCACATTTGAACATCAGGAAAATCGCTTGGAATACATTCGCATATTAAAATTAATTAGAATCCATAGAAATCAACACTGCAATACATAGAGGGTGTGGGTATGGGCGACACACCAGCAATGCAAGGGGAAGCAATAAATCTTTATTACTTCCCCAAGTTGTTCATGCTTCTTTAGTAAACTAGAGTAAAAATACATAACTCAACATAGATTCTATACGATATTCAGTTTGAAATAGAAGGATTGACCCATCGATCATTATCTTATGGATTTTTTATTACTATCTTGATGAATGCATTCACGGTTGTATACATTCGACATGCTTCATTCAAGTAACATGAGAACAAGGACAAACGTAGAAAAGAATAGAAACGAAATGATAATATCAAAGATATATGACAAACAAAAGAATGATCAAAGAAAAGAGAACAAAGAGGATCGAGGTATATGTTATAAGAATATACTGTAATACAAGTGTAGATTGTTGTTATTTTCCGTCAAGTAAAACAGTAGCATTAGAAATATGACTTTTATTGAGTATTTATCGTAGAACATCACATCATATCTGTATGTGAATCAAATAATACTGTTTATTTTTTGTGCATGTCAGTTTCTAAAAAAGAAAATAGTTTTAACGAAAAGAGTAACGAGTTATCGTTGAACATAAAGCGGGCAAAAGGTGAAGCGGTCACACTATATGATATGACCTGATTATTCACCCAGTTAAGTTCACTCGGTTACACAGTCGCATCTGTTTTTTGATCTTTTCATATACGACCCTAACCATTGACCGGTTACTATTATTTTTTTTAGTTATTGCCACCTTGGCTAATATTCTCGCTTTTAAATTAGGAAAAATTTGTTGAATACATTTAAAATACTCACAACAATATTTTTATCAAGACTACTCTAGGGTCATATTCTCATCAAGTTTCATGTGAGTAATCTCGTTTAGATTAGTAAACCTGCAGTTCATTTACAAGCAGTCATTATTATGTTATCTATCTGTTAAAGAAAAAAATATCATTGTTCTTTCATTTAGGTTTTTTTTCACGTTTCCGATGAAGTTTATCATCCGTGTTGTCGATTCTCTGCTAGTCTTGCTTCTTTTCGCTACTATAAAATCAAGCAATGCAAAAATTTCATGCCTTTCTTGTTGGACTGCTCATTATAACAATATAACAAGTGATTTACTACAGCATATGTATGATTGTGTAATGCAAGAGAGAGATCAATGCCATGGTGCACTCTCGGTGATCTATACAGATAAAGGAGAACAGATTTATCCTGTTTTTCATGGTATTTCAGCGAATTTACTTGATTTAGATGGTCTCCGAGACACCGTGCATGAAAGTTTATCCATTGCGTTCAATGAATTTTATGTAACACGCGGAATAAGTGTTTACTGTTCTGAATCAACAAATTGTTCGGTGCATCCGGTACAACTCTTTCATGAAAAATGTGAGTCAATTTCTTTTTTAGATGAATTACCTTTAATATTGTATAATCTTTCGCAGAAAGATTGATTGTCGACTAAAATGTCGCCGTTATATTGCGAGCAAAATTATTTTATATAAAGCATTTTCTATTTTGTTTTCATGTTTAGTTTCTTCGTTTATAGCAATATCAATCTGGAAAGCATTATCTGATCTGTTATATTCTTCAACATCTACTTCTACCGATTTGATATGCTTAGATGATAAATCAGGCAAATCTGTTGCTTGTTCCAACGGAGTCTGCCGTGTGAATACTTTTAAAAATATGCGCACGAAGATTTCCAGTTGTTTTCAAACAAAATCAGGCCTTAAACCGCATGCTTTGCGTTGGTATCGACTTACATCATCTTCTTTAGGATTGGAATTTTCTTGTAATAAACCATTATGTAACTCACAGGAAACAACACGACAAGTCATTGAAATATTGGCATCTGCCAATATCATCTCAAAATCCAGTATAATTGTAACACCATCAATGAAATTAAGCAATGCTTCGAACGAACAATTATGAAATTCACGATAAAAAAAATTCATATAAAAACCTAAATTAATCGATAGTTTGTTTTTTTTTCTTTTATTCACCATGTATGTATGACTAATCAGTAAAATAAATTAATTCTCAAGTTTAAAAATAGTTCAACTTCAAAATATTGAAATTTCAACCATTTGCAAAAAATTACAATTGAAATAAATATTTCAAATTTTCAATTTTCTCTCTGAGATTTCGAACAAGTAACGCTCATTGACAGTCGATTCGCTTAATCTCAGACTGAGGTTATTGAAGTAGAGATACTATTGCATCTTAAGATAAATGTACGTTTAGAAAATGATCAGTAGACTAATCAAAATTATAATATAAGATATATACAGAAATATGCCCTATAGATGAGTTTCAAGACTTGAGGGTGTGGATACGCGCGGTGGAGCCAATCGTTTATTCTCTCTTCTACCGACACTCACATACCCTCGATAGAGGTGGTTTTATGGAAGTGAATTCTTCCCAAAAATATCCGTTGAACACTGAATCGAATATCGTTCTTACAGAACATAATTTGAGATCTCATTGTCTATAGAATAAACGAGTAGAATGTGCTAAGACCATATCGTCAATAACATCTATAATGTAATTGGACATGATCAATATTCGTACGTGAGGGCATCAATCGAGAATACAATAATATTGACCATAGGTACAATCATCGATTTTGAGATATTGTAATGTATATTGAATTGTCATATTATTTGTTTCATTATGATTTTGAAATAGTTCATATGGAGTATTCGAAGACTTGGCAGAGGAATAGCTGAAGAGAGCAGATTTATTATTTCTTGCATTCCTCTCATTGATAAAGATTGAAAACAAAATCAGAGGACAAGTGATAATGCGTGGTGTTAATCAAGCTATGCCGAGATCGTCATTGTGTAAACGAAGACAACTAAATTGATGCAAACCAGAATTAGATAAAAAATTTGTCACATTTGATTTTTTGGACCCAATACTCACGAGGGAACATATCCAACTGTCAGATCGCTTTCGAATCAAGAATAGGTGCATCTTGTGGAGATCAGTGAGCTATGTCCACCATGAAAAGGGTTCGTGTCGATGGCCTATTTCTGAGAAGATCGAATGTTTGTAGTTTCACAGCTGGAAATGTCGACAATATCTCAACTATATTGTATCAAAATGATCTCCAATGT